GTCTTAAATGATATTTTTAAATTTCCTGCTGATCTTTCCCTTGATTGACCAAAAAGCTCTGATTCTCCAGCATGTTATAAAGTTTTGTGGCTCTTGGGGAACTTTCTCAAAGTTCTTGCCTCTTTTTATGATGGCCTAGAGCTACCTAAAAAATAAGTAACCTTAAAACAGCAAATCAAGAATTAACATTATTCCTCATAGTTTGGGGAGGGTGTGACCCAGCTTTGCTAGCTTGTTTTATATGGGAAGGAGGCTTACAGTAAGATGCTGCAGAACTTTGAGTCATGTTGTCCTTGTTCATATGGATGATGGCTAATGACATTTGTAAGCTAAGAGTTCAGCTGGAGTTGCCACTAGAAAGCCTACAAGTGGCCTGTCTCTTCAGTCTGCCTTTGTGTATTAGTTCATTTTCTGTTGCTGTAGCAAAATTCCCAGGTTTGGGTTTAGTTACTTAGAAAACCATTCTGGCCAGCCTATGTTCAAGAAGTGGGGAGTTGTACCTCACCATTCGATGGAAAGAGTGACTTTAAAAGAAGAGCCAAGCAGATGTTCAAATCACCAAAGCAGTTCTCCTTGTTGAGGACTCTCTTGTCCTTTCTGGGTGAAGAAAACAAGTAGAGCTCCACTTACAGAGCTTGAATCCCAAACCAGGGCATCTGTGAGAGATCTCAGGGTTACTTGTGGCAAAGAGCAGAGAAAGAAAAGATGAAGGGTTTCATAAATATCAGGGACACAATCGCAGGCAGGAATGTTCAGTACTTGTTACTGAAGTGAAAAAGTGACACGAAAGAGGTCTGAGGTCTTCAGAAAGAGGCTCTTGATGCAAGGGTGAAGAAGCTCAAGAGAGCAGCCGTCTAATCAGAGAGCACTCAGGGCAGTGCTCCTCATGAGCAGACCAAAGAGCTATGATCCGGTGTGCAACTGTAGGCTTCTCCACAGTCTGCCTCAGAGCACACACAGGAACCTTCTGGTCCCACTAAGCACTACCAAAACTCCAGTAAACTGCACTCCCAAGAGAAAGTGGAAGACTACCCAGAAATGAAAAGACAGATCTTAAATAGCTGTGTTTCTGAGAAATTGCCAAAGTCCGGAGAGGGTATGATTGGTTTGTGCTCTTCTCAAATTACACACTGCAGTTTTATTGAGAGCCTTTTATTTCTTCAGGTAAAGAAAGATGAGGAAAGAGGTGGAGGCGGTGGCTTTTATAATTACTGAGATACAGGAAGACTTGCTTGGCTGACTGGATGCTCACATTTGAGGACATAAACATACAGGGAAACGTCCATTAGCACAAAGCCTGGTACACAGTATGTGCTTGTAGAACCAGAGATCTGAGAGAGCTGGCTGGCCTCAATCTAGGCTTGCTGTGCCTTCTGTTGGGTACAGGGACAAGAAGAAGACAAGGTAGGAAGATTTAAAACACAAAGACCATCATGTAACTCTGAATTTCATACTGACCCTAACAATAAAAATGGTATTTTATTGTGCATTCAGATTTAGATTGTATCATGTCAAAATCGAGAGAGAGAGAGAGAGAGAGAGAGAGAGAGAGAGAGAGAGAGAGAGAGAGAGAGACTTTCTTCAATAGTGGTTCCCTCAGTGAAGTACATGTAGGCGCCTTTAAGAACCAAGAACCGGTACCATGGTTACCTCCATGTGTGAATGAGTTGTCACACTGATTGAATATGGTCACTTTACTCCCTTATTGTTCAGACAGTGGTTATGAGCTTTCGTCCAAGCAGGACATTAGGTATTGGTAAATTGGCAAAGATTCATAAGATAGAATCTGTCCCCCAGTAGTGACATTGAGCCATAGGACTTGAAAAATAATTTACAGCATAATCTACCAGTGTAGATAAAATTTAGTTTCTTTGATTGTGCCTATAATTAATCCGACACCCACCTGTGAGTTAGCAGGAAGTCAATCAGTTGCTTCAGCACGGCTTAATGGAAGGCATCACAGCTCTTCATACCACTTTCCTCCACGTCTTGTAGTAGTCTGGGATCCAAAGACAGCTTCTGAGGCAGGATCTGTGCAGACTACACTGACTGAAGCAGACCAGGGCTGCCCACAACAAACGCAAACAGACTGTCATCATACGGAGCAGAGAAACAAACCACTCTCAAAAAGGTGTGTTCAAATAAGAGTCTGTTTTGCCATGGTGTAAATCCGCTTCACAAAGCAAAGTGGAGCTAAGAAGGCAGCAGAAATTTCCAACAGCTGGGGAGTTATGCTACCCAGAAGCCTGAAAGAGTAAAGAGGAGGATGGATTCCAAAGGCCGGTGATACCTCTACCACTGGGAGAGGGTGGCACTGGAAAGAATATCTAATTCTAGTCCAGAAGTGGAGAGAGAGAATAATATGTTCTTCCAACAGGAATATAGGCTGGAGGTCCTGGTGCACAGGGCCTTCTGCCTGTACAGCAGTTAAAGGGGTACAACTTTTCCCCTTTTGCATGTGCCTGACTCGGTTTCAATCACAGTGGTGTCTTAATTCCATTTTAGCCTGTGTGGATTACTGAGCCTTCTACTGACAGGTGCTCTTGACGTCCTATCTGCTGTACCAGAAACCTCAGGTAAAAGATTTATTATCCTGTCACAAATAATCCCTAGGAAAAGTCCATGGATGCAGAACTTCTGTCGGCAATGAGCGGTGTTTAAATCCTAGGACCACCAGAATGTTAAGGCCAGAATTTTCTCTCCCTAGCCACACTGTGTCTCATTCACTCTCGGTGTTTGCCTAATATCTCTAAAACCCCTCCTTTCCGCTGAACCCTAGGGGGAGAAAGGGATATCCGGGATTCACAATGGTATGGCTTGTAATCCTTTTAGTTTCTCTATTTTCCTTCCTGTTTTGTCTTGAGAAGAAAGGGAGCTCAGCCATCCCTTACATTTCTCTCTGTCATGGTCTTTTTGTTTCTGACTACTGCAAGAAAAAAAACCAAGGCTTAGTAACTTACAAAGAAAGGAAAAGAAACTTAGCTGGTATTCTGGGCAGCTGAAAGTTCATATTCAAGTGGCCCTGTATGTGCAGCTTCTGGTTAAGAGCACACCTCTTCCTCTGGCTCTATCACAATATGGAAGAGAAAGAGAAAGGGAAGCAGGTATCCACAGAAAGATCCAAGTGCAATGGATGGCCACACACTACACTAATGTAACCTTGAGACAACTAACTCAGTCTGAGAGTCCAGGATTAACCCCTTCTGAGGACAGCATAGCGCCTCTCTCATCTAATCAGTAGTCACTAGTCCCCACAGCAGAGACAAGGCCCCCAGCGCATAAAGCTTTGAAACACATTGCAATAAAATGTGATCCTGAGCAGTTAGATTCTAGAACAGAACGAAAAGCTCACGAGTTTGCTGTGTGAGTTTGCTGGGTTTTAGTTCTAGCCTAATCCTTGAGGATAGATATGCTAAGCTAAAACTGTGAACACGCTTCAAAACTACCATGAAAGCTATGTCACTCTAGACCTGGCTTGCAATGGCGTTGTCTTTGAGAACCATCATATTCTTTGAGCATGATCGCATATCCCTTCCCATTTCTTATGTGTTTGCAAGTGTGCACACACACAGAACCTCAACAAATTTCCAGGCATTTGTGTATTGTGCGCAAAATAGGGTAAGATCCCATGCTCAGCATGGCAGTACAGGAAACTGCATTGATATATGTAAACTATTAATCCCCTCCAAAGTGTAACTTTCTATTCCCAGCTATATTGTGGGAATCTGAGCTCTAAATTATGGAGGGTGACCCCTGGGCTGGGGCAGCTGTGTGCAAACTACTAGAAAAGGTGGAAAGGAAATGGGTAACCATGGAGGAATTGTAGGGCCAATGCTGTGTTTAGGAGTGTGTATATGTTAAAATCCCATAAATAAGAGAAAAGGGTGTGATAGTCAAAGTTCTTCCTATTCACATTGTATGCTCGACATTTTCACAATTAAAATAAAATCTTCTGGGTATGGTGGGCTCCTGTAGCAGCACACAAAGGATTTAATTCTAGGCTATGCTCAACTATTCAGTAAGAGGGTGATAATAGTAGTAACCAGTGCCCTTGGTAACCATGATTGTAATAACAGCTAACATACAGAAACTTCTATGCTGCAGGAATTGTTCTAAGTACTTATACATATTAACTCATTTTACTTAAAACAAAATCTACAGAATGTCACTAACATGCTCATCAGAGTGAGGAAACCAAGACAAATAAAATCTTAGTGACTTGATCAAACAACTAATTAACTTGGTTTTCATGCCAATTCTTGGCTCCATGGGAGTTGTTTATAGGTCTGACCCAAGCAGGAAAAGGCATTGCACTATCATAGAAATGCTATGCCAGAAATTTAGTCATAGGCTCTAAGTAGCCACTAGTTCCCCCAAAGTCATAGTGATAGTGAAAGACACCCAGAGTGGGGAGACTCTCACTCAAGTCTCGGGATAACATGACCCTCCCCGGGAACTCACAAGAGACAGTCCTTGCTGCAATCACACAAGATTTATTGACAGGACAGGAACCAGTGCACTGGGGCCAAAACTCATTTCCCATGCAGGGGTAGAGAGTTCTGAGTAGCTGGGAGAAGGGGTATTGAAGGGAAGAAACCATAACCCAATAACCCAAAGAGGGTAGGGAGGGCATCATTGGAAAATTCTGAAAATACCAGTGATAATCACAAGGGGGTAACTCTCTGTTTCTTAAGATTATTCTCAAGATTATAATCTAACGTTGTGGTCAGCTAGTTCCTGGAACAGAGTCACTGAACTGGCTATCCTAGAGTTTTGGTTCTTCTTTCCCTGCTAGATTTTTTTGGCTCTACTCTTTCTGTTAGAGGGGTCTGAATTTATCCAGGTCTTTCATCTCCCTACTCTGGGAGTCTTTCAATAGCACAAAGATATCAGCATCAGTCCTCATACCCCAAGTTCACAAAAAGGTTGATTGCTTAGCAATCAATAAAAAGCTTTTATTCAATATAAACCCTGGACTGTTTGGGTACAGTTTGATGTGGGAATGATTTCTTATTAATAAAGAAACTGCCTAGGCCCATTTGCATTTGATAGGCCAACCCTTAGGTGGGTGGAGAAAACAGAACAGAATTGTGGGAAAAAGAAGCTGAGAGAGAGTCGCCATGATTCTCCCACTCCAGACAGACGCAGGTTAAGATCCTCCCTGGTCTGAACATAGCGGACAAGGAGGACTACTGAGACCTCAAGAACAATGGCAACGGGTTTTTGATTCTACTGGACCTATTGGTTTCATGGGAGCCTAGGCAGTTTCGTGGATGCTCACCTTACTAGACCTGGATGGAGGTGGGTGGTTCTTGGACTTCCCACAGGGCAGAGAACCCTGATTGCTTTTTGGGCTGACGAGGGAGGGGGATTTGATTGGGGGAGGGGGAGGGAAAGGGGAGGGGGTGG